TATATATATATATCATTTTATCTCCATATCTTCTACAGGTTTTTTCTTCCTATTGATTTGATGAGATTTATAACAAGCAACATCTTGAAAAATTTAAATTGTGGTATTTTAAGAATATATTTCAAAACCTTATTGTTTAAAAATGTTTAAAAATGAAAGTGGATTATTTAAAAGTATTTGTTCAAAAGAACTATTTAAGTAACTTTCTAAATTGTATATATATTTTTACTTATTCTGATATATTGTATTCTACAAAATGTAATTATAATGATATTTAATATTATACTTTACTATGAAGGCATTAATGAAAAAGAAGCAATTTCAGACAAATATTTTAATTTGTAAAATTTTTAATTTATCATGTTATATCACTTAATAGGGCAGGTGCCAAATACCTTCCAATTATACTAACAGGTGACTTCAATTTGGAACCCAATTCTGGAGTATATAAATTTCTTGTGGAAGGAATGTTTGAATACCAAGGAAAGGGAAAAAATCTTAAACCCACGGAATATTGTCGATCTTTATCGAATTATCTTATTCCTCCTTGGCTTTGCATTACCGACAACTGTCAACATTATAATATTTTAAAACATAGATTACGTGGAGAAGGAACAGACAAAGTGATGGTATGTTAACAATAATAAGTATCACAAATTGTTCTCTTTTTTCTTTGTTTATTATATACACATTTATATTTTTGTTAATTTTATATATGTATAATATTTTAAGGCTTAACTCACTATATAATTTTGTCTATTTAATCTGTTACAGTTAGAAAATAGCGAATATAATAATGTAGATGGTAATACTGCAGCAAATAATTCATCATATTGTGAAGTGAACTCAGATACAACTGATGTTCAGGCGATAGATATTCTGCAAGATTATCGTGTATATTTCAGTTCTGGCACCTTAACTCATCCTTTCCAATTTAATAGCGTATACAAACATCACAATTGTCATGGAGAACAAGAAGCCACGACACATCAGGATGAATGGATTACTGTTGATTATATTTTTTATAGTGGAATGGAACTTCTTGAATCATATAATTTACCCATAGCTTCAAAATGTAACTCTTTACCTAAGATACCCAATTTTGCAGTTGGAAGTGATCACTTTTGTTTAGGAGCCACTTTTAAACTATATAAAAGTAAACTTTAGAATTGTTAATGTTATGATTTATAACATAGTAAAAAGTTGTTACAAACTTGACATAGAACACTTGTTTACACAAAATGTATGAAAAAATAATGTAAGATAATGTACAGAATAGCTATGTTATTTTGTTTAAAAAATTTTAAAAGTCGTTATTTTTCTTCAATTTTATTGATAAAAGTGGAAAACATTGTAGGTTTTTAATGATTTATAATGTAGAATATGGTCGGTACTATGTAGATTAAAATATTTATCTGGGGTGCAAAAACTAAATTTAATACAAAATTATTGTTCTTTAAGTATATTGCTGTTTTTATTATTATATTTATTTTTCCTGTTGTCATAACTATAATTATTTTAATATGTGAACAGCACAATATTTTTAATTGTTGGACTTATACTTTTGCGCTTTACTGAAATATTTATTTAGTTGCCTTCTATTGTAATAAATTGATTAGTATACAGATAATAATAAGTAGCATGATTGAAATCATATGCATGTTATTTTACTTTATAATTTTTGCATGTCAGGAATTTTCAAATACATTAAAAAAATTAATGTTTTTATGTATATGTATTTTTTTAGCTAAATTAAACTTCTTAATATTTTATCAAATTAACATTTATTGCTTAATATACATTTAAAATAGCTTTTACTAAATATTTTTATGTATTTCATAAGTTTTAGGAATTTTTAATTTTTATGTAATTGACAAAGTTTATTGTGGAATAACAATCTAGTAATTCTGAGAACTAATATAGCAGTTTTGATCATACAATATATATGTTAGTACAATATGCATTGAATGCTCCAAATTAACCTGATATAATTTAAAGCCGTTTTATCATCTGCTGTTGTAAAGAGTTAAGGAGATTTACTATTTCACCAGATATGTTTACTTTAATAGTTAGAATAAATAAATTGCTGTACTTTGAAGAAAGGAAAATAATTATTGTACGTCAAAATCTGTAACGTCAAAACTTAAAATTTCTGCCCAAAGATAGAGGATATGAGGCTACAAGCGAAAAGAAATTAAAAATTGGGATAAACTCGTATGTTTGTCCGGATTTATTGAAGTAGCTTTAAAGTACAAACGATAGCCCGCATGAGGAGAAACAAAGCTGCGTACTAGTATATAAATGGCGGGGTTAGTCCACATCATACACTGTGCAGAGCTTGGAAGTTTGTACCAAGTTCATCTTTTCTAATACAATTATAAAAGTAGATTAAATGAATTTTCGGTATTGGAAATGTCACAGTTACAAATACTAATATATTGCATCGCATAATGAAAAGAGTCAATAGTACATATCGACACTAAATGTTATGTACTGTACACAAAAGGAGTACTGATGTAACTTATTTTACTATTATGTCAAAAGTATAAGTTTCAAGAACATCAAAGAGTTCATCATTTCGCTACAGTTAGGCGAAATGATCAAAATGTGTACTCCCTATGCCGTCCGAAGTGCGCATTTCTAAGCTCTACACAGTATATTCCTGACGTTTGTTCAGACAATGCTTCCATAGGTAAAATTAAGTTTATGATATAGCCATTAAAAGCCAGATAAAAATTCTATTTGAAGATCCTAGTTAGTATTTCAATTTATATCTTGTTATTAAAACATGAATCCTTAAAATAATAGTGATGTCTGTGACAAACATCAAAATCTATCCATGTCATAATTTTTAATACAAATAATGTTTAGAATTTTATATTTAAGGTCTTCATCTCTGATTCTTTTTATTGTTAATAACAACGAAAAGTTAAAATTCTTTAACTATCTCAAATATCAAACAGAATTTACGATTAGCTTAGTAATGAATAACTACATTCAATTGATAGTGTTATCTGTTTCGTTGGTTGGGCTCTTACAACTGCAAAACGCATACAGCTCTGAATATCATAGTACCAGTTAGTATAGTTCGGTTATGACTTTGTAAAACCACTATATCCTGAAAGGCAGTAACAATAATTGAATATAGTATATGGTTAGAAAATTCGATTTGAACTTATATTTGTAAGTAAAAAGACCTATCAATTAAACCTTCCAACTAAAACCGTATATCAAACTCTAAAAACTATGGATAGATTCTTCGTATACTTCGTAAAATTGTGATAGATATGTGATTAATCATAATAATAAGTGTGAGTTTTTCCAGAAAATTTCTTCTTGGTTGTGCCATACGGATCCATGTTGCATCGGGAAACTAATCGATATTAAAAATCATTATAATGATTATAGATAATGTTACGCGAGTGCGCATGTGTAGTGGAAGCATGTGATCATATACGCATGATCAATAATAGGATCTAGGATGTAGGAATGTTTCATCAAGACAATCCAAGTAAACTCACGTCATATACAAAATAATTGGTATGTAAAAAAAGAAATTTCAGGGAATATAATATTTTTTAAATATTTAAAAAGTAATGTAACATTCAGAACACTTGAAACCAGAAATTTATTTACCTTTGAATAATAAGTTTATGTTTGCTATTAAGGTATGTCAAAACTAATAAAAACTAATTTTATTTTGATTTGTAGAATTATTTTTTACAATTTCTTCCACTAATTGTCGAATATTCTATATAGAATATAATTTTTATGTATATTAATATTGAATGAGTAATTTAATTTAGGTAGAAAATAGATCATGTTACTTTAATATTTTAGATTAATTATATTTACTTTAATGATAAATAATATTAAAGAAATGTTGTTATGTTACTTACCTGGTATAAAAACATATTTGTTTTACTTTTGAAACCTGTTTATATGAGTGTTTATAGATATGTTGTCTTTCACTGTTCAATATAGAACAAGGATTAATTGCAACAAATATACTGATGAACTCATTTATGTAAAATACCATGACTGACTTTTATTTATGTTTTACATTCATAATTTAATAACGAACGAATACACAGTATTATATTGTACAAGGTTCATTATATTGAAAAGTGCACAGCATCGTTATATTAAATTATGTATGCATAATACAACAGAATATTTATGAACTGATCTATTGTATAATTCAACAAAGAATTATGCAAAGAAATGATGTTACAGATATTAGGTACATAATAATATGTTCTATTAAATGTTTCTTGCATCAAAGTATTTTCAAAAAGTAATATTTAGTAAAGCAATATATTTCGTTGTAAATATTTGCAATTAAAACTGAATATTGACGTTCTAATTAATATTTCAACTTGATTAAACATTTCCTATTGTAATATGTCAAATATTAAAGTATTTGACAACTGCACATAAATTAGTAAATTAGTAAATTGTATATATGTATGTATTAAAGCTGTATTAAATCTTTTATAAAATTAATATGTAACAAGCATAAGATTTTATAACAAATATTCGATTTAAAATATCCATTTTTAATCGCAAATAATGATCATTGTATTATATTTTATATTGTATTTTAAGAATGTTTAACTTGAATACAACATCTTGTGAACTATTTTACAAATATTATATTATAATCGGCAAATTAATATCAATGCTAGAAATATAAATAGCACTTTCCATTGTGAACAGGTTAATGATTTAATTATTGGTCGTGCATTATTGAACTGTTTCACATAAAAGTGTAAAAACATGAATATTGTCCTTTGTACTAGACGGACTTAAATGGACTTCGAAAGTTTTGCTGCAACTTACTTAGTTTAAAATTAAAATCAAAATCGACATTTGATCCATATTTTTATGTTGAAGACATTATTTGAAATGTAATAAGATAATTTCTATATTGAAAATTATATGCCTTCTTCACCACTGTGTTCTATCAACTAAAGCAACTGAATTTATAAGTTTTAGATCAAGTCAGATTCTTTGGTACTGAATGATTTTCCTTATCGCGTTCATATATATAACTATGAATATTGACATTTTAATAACAAAGTATATATGCAACTATTTCCTAAATAGAAAATTATTGATAGTAATCGCATATTTTAGATATGAAAAGAAGAATATATTGTCCTATAATTGTATATTTAACATTAACGGCTGCAGGCAAATTTTATTTGTTCATCTTTTCTGTCGTGAAAAAATTCTAAATTTTTAAAACAGCACTAATTACCAATCTTCATTCGAAAATAATAATCATAAATACTTATCTAAAATGTATAATTTACTACTAATTTTGACATTTTACATGTTTTGTTTTACATCAAAAATCTGGCCTCACAGATAAATCTGTAATACCCTTTACGAACATACTATTCATTCTCACAATATGTTACACCAACCTTTTCAATACCTTCAGTTCTAACTTTACACGTTTAGTTGCTTAAAATAATGTCTGCAAAACACTGACATCATTGAGGGCGGAGCATCAATTTTACACAATAGTTTCTCTTCTTTCTCTGTTAATCTTTCTAAAGATAATGTGTATTCTCTGTCGAAAACACCTAAAACAAAAGAAAATAATTTATATAAACATAACAATTTTTGAAGTTTATATAATAATTATTTACTAAATAATTTGATAATGTTTGTTTGACAAAAAATCAAACAAAGGAGAAAAAGAAAAAAATTCATTTTTTTTTCAAATAAATGTAACGCAAGTAAGCATAAAGCTTTATAATTCTAAGCTAATATTTTATTGGTAGTAGTCTAGCAAATATGTTCTAAATAATATTGATGATTTAATAATAGATAAAAATGTATTATTTGTAATAAATAACTCTTTTTAAACCCATGTTTGTTTCTTTATAATTTCTAAAGCCACTTTAAATAGCTCTGAATAGTTTCTTGAAACTATGGGACAATAATTAGGAAAGCCATAGCTTTATAAGCAACGAACTTGTAACACAATATTCATGTTATGAATGTGAAATGAAATAATACATTTTCTTTTCAATCATTTAATAAGAGATTTCTAGATGGACATAAGGTTATGAGTAGATGGAAGGGCGAGTGTAAATATTTTAAGTAACAGAAATTTGAAGTAACAATTATATTACTAATGTACTAAAATATCATAATCTTTAAATCGTTGATTTAAAATGGTTGTGATTTATATATTCAATGTGTTAAATATCACACTATTTTTATATGATTTTTCTCTTAGACTTTATGGGCTACGTATTGGCCATAGTTAGAGTATACTATTGCATTTGTATTTGTTGTAAATATAATAATATAATAAATATAATAAATATTTAATAAAATTAAGTTGTATGGACATAAATAGTAATATATATTGTATATAGAAATAGTTTTGATCATATAGATTGGACAAAGAAAAATTTTTGTTTAATTTTAATCGACAATCGAATAATACCAGATTCGTCATATACATATTGATAGCTTTATAAAGGTTTGTATAGAAAAGGCCATCTTGAACGTTAGAAATAAAATTTTTTTGTTTTCAAATTTAAATTCAAATATTTAATAATATTAAATATACCCTCGTAAATATCGAAATAAATTGAGCCACATTATTCACGATGTATTGAAAACACTTTGTACAACACAGCTAATATTTTCTGTAAATGTATATTTTCTCTCTTTATTTGAACTGTGATGAATGTTTCTATTACAAGTGACCCTGATATGTTACAGGTCATTGCATTCATATTGAAATCCGTTATCAAAAGATAAGAATGAAAACTTACAAATTTGTTTATATACTAAAACTAAACCAACACGAATAAAATTAGGCAAAATGACTTTTTGATATATTATTTTTATAATTCCTGAAAACATCATGCAGCTGTTTCTAATAAAATTTTATGACAATTAATGAGGAAGATATTTAAGTAATTACATTTCACTTAACTACTCTATATTACAGTTTCTTCTTCTTACTAATTACTTCGAAGTCATAAAGAGAATTGAGATTTAAGAATTTAAGATTTAAGAACAAAATTTAAGATATGAAATAAAGTAATAATATCAGAAGTTATTAACCGAGTTTGTATATGACAAATTTTTCATAAATAATTATCTTTGCAACAGATTTTAAATTACTAAGCAAGAACAAAAATGCAATGGTGTATTAAATGTTTATAAAATTTTGTGAAGAATAATGAAATATATTCTATCTTAATTTAACCCTTTTACGAGTACAATTTGAAAACAATACTGTGTAAATAATATTTATGATAAACATTTATTGTAGGTATGAGTCTTGGTGGCGCTAGTGAGTTAAATGAAAGATCATCTTAAAATACTTAGTCTACCGACTGGGGAAATCTCCCCACTTCGAAGTCAAACGCTGCACGATCGAATGGGGAAATCTTCCCGTTTCGAAGTCGAAGTGTCTAACTGAAGATGTCACGTTTCTCCTAGCAACGCGTTGCCTTACATTTTGGTTATTGTTTCTCTTTTGTTATCTCGTTAGTCTTTTGTTTTATCTCTGCGCACTGCAGGGGAGGTATCTACTTTTGTTCATTCAATTACAAAAAATATTTAATTATGTCATTTATTTTTAATTTCATATTTTATATAAACTATGAGTAATATAGATTATTAGCATCAGATATGATTAATCAGTTGAAATCAACTTTATGTGTTCTTACTTTTACTTGCCAGAAATGTACGCGGTGGAAAGCATACAGTTGGCTGTAGTGCGCGCGGTTGACTGAATGTTAAGACTGCCGAAACACTTACTCGTGAAAGGGTTAATAAAAGGAAACATACCTTGGTCAATATTTACTCTTCCCAAAACTGTAAATGCCAGAAACAAAATATCCCGGTATACAGAAAATAGCGGTCGGTTACTTGATTGATTTTTACTTCTTTCTAAGGCCACTCTTTTTATGGGTTCCGCTAAGTCATTTCGACGAACATTTGTAATTACAGACTGCATTAATCTATAACAAATAATTATATATAACTATGAAAGTCTATGTCAATAATAGAATAAGAAATAAAATAACTATAATAGCCGAAAATGACTTTTTTAAGAAGCTTCTGTTTGCTGATAAAGAAATAACTAGGATTAAGATACAACTAAATATAGTTTACTGCGCTATTTTATTCTTATAATTGATTCAAAATGGGTATTTTATCCTATTCTTCTTATTTCATTTATAAAAAGAGTTATTTAGTTACATGTAACATTTCTATAAAAAATTTAAATAAATTACCAGCTGGATAATAATCATAATATTTTTACACAATAAATTGCTGGGATTATCAGAAATCTTTTGAAATTTTTGAAGGAGATTTTAACTTACGTTTTATCATCTGCAATATTCAGCTTCCATTGTAGATACATAGGTAAGCGATCCATGTGAAGCCTTTCATTATCCCACATAGTTTTGACACCTACAGGACTGTAATTTATCTGTTCCTTCTTCTTATCATTTCCTAGCCACAGATCAGGAAGGTGACTCGTTAAATTAATTCTTTCAAAATACCATATAAGATTCCAATATACTATTGGATGTTCTTCGATAAATTTATGTTTAGTAAGACACGCATCACCCTCTTGACTTAAAACACTTTCTAGTTCTTTCCTTAAAACTAGAGGATTTAAGTATGGCACCGTAATAGGTTCTAATAGTTCTTTCGGCTTATCTAATAATTCAACCAAAGCTCCCATTAGAGGGTCACTCTTCTTTTCATTTTCCTCGCATCTTTGTAAATATGAAAATGCACAAATAATATACGCACATAATTTATAGAACAATTTATACTTAATATCTTTGTCAAATTCACATACCTGTAATCTAATATGGTAATAGTAAGCAGCGGTACTGTTGCTTTGTCACAGTATTGACAAACTGTATTTAAATTTGAATCTTCCGGTTGCCAACCAGCCATTATTTCTTCATCATAAAGGATAGAGGCACAGTGATGACATCTACTTGCACTAGAGAGTACAAGCTCAATAGCAATTCGTTCATCTAATTCCCTTGAACCTTTTGGATATAAGGACTCAGCCAAATCGTATAATGTATAAGGATCTAGATTTCCATCTCCTATTTCAATATAATAACAAATTATTTAAAAATCATTTTTTATTACACAAGGTGTTTTAAACTGATGCTATAACTAAAAAGAGCTGATTCTACACGAAAAAATAAATCGAAAATGTAAAATAAAATTATTATACAAGTCTTCGAAAAAGATGAATTTAAATATTTTATGACTTATGGTTGTTATATATAATCAAATTGATAAATTGATATATACTGATTGTTCTTGAGAAAAGAATAGGATATTGGAACCAAATAATTACATTTTGAATATTTACTATTAAAGACAAATATAAGTAGAAATAATCTATAACGAAAGGTCAAGATATACAGTACTGCCCGCTTTAGCGTCCAAAGTTTTGCCCACTTTTGCGTTCATTGTTATCCTCACCAATTCTTGGAAATGGGATCTTGGAATGAACTTCAAACTACTTGTACTGACTGAGATAAACCGTCAGACAAAACTTGACACCGATCTTTTTTTTTTTTCAACTAAATTCCAGTAAGTTATCTCCCTTCATAAGCGTGCGGATTTGGTCCCGACTGCGGATGCTAAAGTGGGCATTACTGTAGTTAAGTGTAGACATACCATACAAACATTTTCAGCCAATTTTCTCGAAAATAAAGCCTCGTTTGAACAAATATTATTCTACATTTTTTACTTATCTTTTCTTGTAGAATCGCTTACTTCCTTATTGTATCACAGGATACTATAGGATATCTCGTGTATTTTTTGTTGGGAGGTAAGACACCCTACGTACTTTTTGTTGAGATATAAGACATCCTACGTACTTTCTGTTGAGATATAGGGCAACTTACGTACTTTTTGTTAAGATATAGACACATCTCTATAGTCTTTGTGTGAAGTATACTACAATTTTAATATCAGTCGAACTTAAAAGTATAAGTATTTCGACTATCGAAACAGTAAAATAAGATATTTAAGAGAAAAAGGTACTCGAGGATCAATCAGTGCTGTATGATGACAATTTGGAACCAGTTCTTCTATTGCTAGGTATTACTAAACAGTGGTGTACGACAGGCTAACATTTTTTTAAAGTTTGAAATATTGATATCCGTAGATTAACAAACTAAATCAAGATTCCAAATTAATAAATTCATTTTACTGTTTTATATATCAATTTACCAGATCGTTTTCAGTTTCGAGGACTTCAAGGATGCCTTTTTTGCATCTATCGTAGCCGCCACTTAGTATAATTTACGAGCGCACTATATTTTTTGCGCAGACTATAGTTCTTGTTGACAAAGTAGAGAGCTTAATGATACAAACCAGATACTTTGAGAGGTTCATTTCTATCTTGTAAAGAACCATCTGTCATGGAATCCAATGATTCATGCGATGCACCATGTATTATTTTATAATCGCGTTCTTTTAATTTCACAGGAGTACTTGTTGCAGAGATAGCTTCTTTAATTTCGTCAAACTTTTTTACTACTGTTGTAGCAGCTGATTTTAAACTATTTAAACCACCGAGTATTATTTCATTGGACTTCTTTCCCGTTAAACTAGTGGGACTGAAACAGATAATATTTTTGGTACTGACTTCATATACCTAACTGTAATAATAAATTGACTTTTTAATCTTAGTCAAGATGATAAAGTTGAAGACCTTACATTTTGTACTTCTCATTAATAGAAATAAAAATTCAAAATTACAGAGTGAAAAAGAGTTCCCAAAATCAACTTTTTCGATATAAAGTATATTTTTATATCTCTGGGTACTTGATAATTGAATTTGAGTAAAATTGCAATAAATAATAGTAAATAAATTTTTTACACCTTCTATGTAAATAATATAAATATACTTTAATTTATATTTCATATAAAGATAGATTAATTTATATATGATTTAGATAAAAATGAATTATTATTTTGCAATAAAAGTGAATAATAATTTTCGAATTTTTAATATATCACTTAAACAATATTATCAAAAACTATTTGGATCTTGACCTATTAATTTAATCTATTATTTACTCATAAATCAACAATTTTTTTATGTAAATCTTTTTAAAAATTTGTTGCTTTACCTTTCCAACTAGAATTTTGGCACACAAGAATAATACGTGTCAAGTACTCTTTCATCGAGATTGACACATAATAGATGTGGCATAGCATGAATATGAAGCTAAGAAACACAACATTTATGCGTTGCAAGGCATACATTAACATATTCAATGCGAAATCAATACATATATTGAGAGAAACAATACCTTTGAGTAACAAAGTTAATACAAAGGAATGTAGCAATAAAGAACTAATAATAAAAAACGATTATGGTAAAAAGTGATCGAGTAGAAAGGTTTTAAGTAGGAGTATGTTAAGACGAATAGTCGATATTTGTATCGACATCGTCATTTTAGAAAACAAATCTCTTCGATACATGTATTGACTTTCCACGTTCATGTTTGAACGTGGTAAGCGTAACCTACTATGCAGAGATAAAAAAATGGTTAGTGGAACAATACAGGGACATATATACTCTTCGTTTTAATTGATTTCATATTTTGAATACTTCCTAAATGTCTATTTTTAGCACAGTCTAACATGATAAAATAAATTACATCATTATAATTTTCATTTTAGATTGCTTGTTAATACTTTTATTTTGTCTGATAGTATTTCACTTCTTATTACTTTATTTTACTTTGATTCAATATGTTTTGTTTGTTTTCTTTATCAGGTATTGCTTGTAATTAATTAGATCTGCATTCCTTTCAGTACTCACCTTCTCATCTTTGCACAATAGTAATATAGCATACTTTGTATTATAAAACACAACTTATATTTTAGTTGCTCATAGTTTTAAACTTCAGGAAATGTGTAAAACAATATTGCTCTAATAAGGGTACTACTCTCATGCAAATGTCTGACGTAATAACGGATCTCAGTGATCGATGTAGACTGCATGTCATTTATATAAAAATTAAAAAATGTATTTGTTATCATTTCAATTTAAATCGTGTATAAACATTTTTACAATACTATACCAGTAGAAAGATTTCGAGAATTTTAAAATTGCTACATTATATGTATCTATTTTAAATAAATAGTATATTATAGTTTTTGACCTCTAGTAGAATAGCGATTGTTTAAAAAATTTCAGTGACCTATAACACAAGTTTACTCAACATTGAATAATGGAGTAAAAGGACAATTCTTAGATCATAGAATGAAACATTCAGTTCCTGAATTGTTGAAGTTTATACATTACAGCAGTTTTTGCAGCCACCAAAGAAATATTCATTGAAAATACAATTCTCAAAAGTCCTTACAAACCACCCCTTTGCTGTATTGTAGTTGTAAGTATTGTTTCTGCCTGGTCTAATGTTATTCTGATACTAAGGAATAGATTTCTTAAAATAGCCGTACCAATGAATTCAATTATGACAGGCTCTTGAAAAAATGCTTTTCTTTTTTTTTTATTGTTTTTCCTTCCTTTTTTTAATCTTACACAGCATCATAAATTTACATATTATATAACATAGTATATGATTAAGATCTACTAAACTGCCTTATTACAGCAATATAGTAAATTAATGTTTTCTGGATGTTCAACCTCATTACAGCTTAACTTGTAAAACCTCGTGCATTTGTCATATAAAAGTGACAATCATGCACATAGATTTATAGTCTATCTTAAATTGTGGGAGAGCAATAGATATTGATATATTTGCAACCTTGGTCGGCTAATACATCTAGCTCATACTATGGATTGGTTGAACTATGATCATAAATTTGGGTATAAGAAATAATCTATGAGTAAGTTTTTATTGAGTTACAATATTATCTTATGTTAGGTTGCTCAACTGTTTCATATAAGAAGACAAATGATTTCTGTATTGTGCATGAAGGTAGATTTAAGAAGATGAAAATTATTTACCACGAATTTAATTTAAGATAGTGCTTCTGCGAGCATTGTTATAAAGTTGAACATGATTTAACTTCACATAAAAATTAATAGAACTTATCATATTACGATTTTTGTTTTAAAAGATATTAAACAAAATATAAAATTTAATATTATTAGAAATTTTAATTTTTATAGTTAATATATGTTATATTATAGAAAAATATGATTTTATATAGAAGCCAATAAGTAATACACTGCATTACACAATAGAAAGGCATAGCCTTATATAATATGTAATAAATAATATGTCAAGTTAGTTAACAAAATACAATTATCTTAAATTAGTGAAAATTTTGAATTAGTCAAAAAGACATGTACATGTATATGCATGGCTTATAAGACAGTTCTTTCAAGTATTCATATAACTGTGAATTTGTTGTAAATTTGAAAAAAAAAAGGTAAGGAAATTCTTACATTTTTTATAATTATAGATATCTAAGGACTTCATTTTATATAACTTTTATTAAAATAACTTAAAATAAACATTTTTGTTAAAATGTTGAAAATGAAAATCCATTCATATATTTTATTTTGTGTGTAGTTTATATAAATAAATAAATAAATAAATAAAAATGATAGAACATCATAATCAAATAAATTATAATAAAATAAAATAATTTAATATGTTATACATTAATAATTGATAAAAATTGATTACAAAATGCTTATACTATTTGTCACATTTTGTAATAAAAAATAAACCAATTTTTTGTACATTTTTAAAATAAATTATTTTATTTATCAAAACTGTTTTTAATGTGACATTATTGTTATTTCAATACTTAATTCTCCCACTTAATAAATCTTTTTTGTTTAATTACGTGTTTTACTGCTTTCAGTGTTCAATTCTTCGTAGTTCATTTTTTTCTTTTATTATATCGACGCTCCATATCGATCTTTTATATCAATACACAATATACAATTACTGTAGCAAATATTGAGGTAGTATTAGTAAATATTCAGTTCTTTTAAATTTTTAAAAAATGATCATCCCAATTAATTATTTAAAACCTTTAGAAATAATAATAAAGGAAATAAAGATAGTTATTTTCTATCTAATAACTTGATTTAATTGTATCTCTTTTAAAAAAAATTGTATCTCTTTAATTATATCTTTTCGTTTCACGATTTATAATTGCTGAATCTTATTCTTAATATACATCACCATAGAAATATAGTGTTATTTGTATTCTTACCACTTATGAGAGTTAAAGTATAGAATTAAATATTGAAATTGTAAGGTTAATGTACACTTGACAGTTTTATGATAGTAAATAATAATAATGTCTCCCTTACCCAAAGCTGAGCTTCAAACTGGAACCTAAGCTTGAAAGACTGGAGGTAACGCTGTCCTTTTGAGACCAAAGACTGCTTATTTCTAGTCTTTCTCTTTCCTTATCTTGCTCGCCTTGTTGTGCAACAGAATGTGGCATGGTTTCACTCCTTTGTAAATGGCCACCTATTGCTACACCCGTTTCATCTACTGTTTGATGAAATGTTGCACTACGAGGCAGAATATTACTGTAATATAAATGTAAAGAATTGTTATAATGATACTATGTATATTGTATCTTATTGCAACACTTTTTGGTGTCTTTAACAGATTTTTTAATTATTAATATTCCTTTTGTTTGATACTAATATTTTTTAATTTAAACTGCAATTTCAATATTTTTGACCATGAAAGTCTTAATTCCTCAAGTATGTATTATTGTAATGTTTTACAAAAAAAATCTAATAGAAAGTGGAAAAAATGGAAAAATTGTTAATTATATGCAAATTTTTTCAAATAAATTTAGAGCAGATATTAAAACACTACGTCTATTCCCTCATAGAAATATTTATTTATTATATAAACATTATTTGTTAAAGTATTTACTCAACATTAGAATATCAAGAAACAGAAAATTATTTTAATTATTTGACACATTATAGCACTATCTTTGATATCAATAGTATTAGTAACGTACTAATTCTAATTCAAAAATTATAGATTCCTATTTTTCTTAATACAATTATGGTTTCTTTTTCCATCTTTTTTTATTGTAAATGTTTTTCCAAAAATCTTTTTACGAAGAGAAAGGTTAATTTATTTTTAGTTCCTACAACTATACATTATTAATTTTTTTATGTTTGTTTAATATTAGCTCAATTACAAAAAAAGTTACTAAAAAACGATTAAATTAAGTTCAAAATAGGGAGCCACGAATAAAACGTTATTTTATCTCTAATCCCTAAAGAATTTAAAGACTAAATTAAGCCATTTTTAAGATGCCTATATAAACTTGTTTTCTATATGCCATAGGAAAAGAATTTTATTAAATTTTAATGAAGTTAATTTTATATACATTAAACATTTAATTTAAAATATTTTCAAATAAATATGAACGGAATACACATTGTTTTATTGAAATCAATCCACAAAAATGTCCTTAAAATTATTAATAATATGGTGAAAATAATAGAAATTATGTGCTGTGGATGAAGAGTGTTTGGATCAGAGCTATACGAATGAAGTGTTTGGTTTAGAACAGTGTTTTTGTCAACCTTTTTGTCATGTAACTCAATATATTAGTTTGGTAATAGTACTATAACTTAAATCTTTCTAATATATAATTTTTAAAAATGTGATGAACTGAAAATGCTCTTTAAAGTGGTATTTAAAAGTAATATTATTATATTTGTATTGACATTCTCTTCTTGAGGTCAGTTCAACAAATATTTAAATTTTATATTTTATCATTTAAATTTAATTATGAGAAATGTAAGACTAAAAATTTCCTTACATTTCATTAAAAATTTAATGCGATCTCATACTGAATCACGACTCATACATTGAGGAACACTGAGGTAGAGGAAAAGGAAAAGGATAAAGAAACAGCAAACACAGTTTTACGAAAATATATGGTTAATAAAATATGAGCGTGAATTTGTTTAGAGAATTCAGAAATAAGAGTAAGAGCTAAAACCTTGAATGTATTCCTCATATTCTCCATTTTTGTCCTGTATTTTAACTCAAACAATTGTAATGTTTTATACACTATATAATAAAAATACTTTTGCTTTAATACTGTAGTCTCAGATAAAAAAACTATTTCTTTGTGAGTAAAATATAGGTCAAATGTATTGACCGATCAAGGTCGCTTTTTCCCTATTACAGAGAAAACTGACAAATCCTTTCATTGAAATTTGTATATATATTAATATAACAAATCAATGTTAAGATTATAAATATATCTATTCTATGAGATGATTCTCATCTTTCTTGTTGAGTTAATATATTGTATTTATCTTATACCAATTTTTAACTGTTCCTCCTGGATATCAGGATATCCAGCATATCCATCCAGCATCTTATTCCTATTTTCCTATAATCTTTTTCCTATGACAAGAGTAAAACTAAACTGCATTAAAAATAAAATTTGATCTATGTTTTAATTTTCAAGTTCACAAAGTATTAGGACGAGCAAATTTTTCTATTACAGGGACTTCAGTTATATTCCTCTACTGTGATCTAATGTCATTCAATTCTTTATTAGTCATTGAAATACTTTTCTTTTTTTATGTTATAGTAACATTCATTTGAATGTACATTCCTATAAATTGAATATTTTAACATCCTTGCTCTATTTAATTAATATTATTATCTGATTAATATTTAATCAATATAACATTTGAATTAAAATTAAAATTATTTGAATTTTAGGATTTTTTCCCCATGGTTTTTTTTTTTCTTTTTTTCTTTTAAATCCTGCAGTCATTTAATGCATTGCTTTGTAATTACCTCATATTAATTTATTCATTTAATTATTTATTTATTTTATTATTATTTCATGTTGATTTATATTCTCAGTATCAAAATTTATTTTTTAATAACTGTATAAATTTAATTAATTGCAAAATAAAACCTATTAATTAAGTGTAAAATCAACAAGATGTTAATTTTCACGTATTTAAAATTCTGAAGTACCAATTTGAAAAGAGATAATACAAAGTTTAAATTTTGTTTAGAATTGTGTGATATCAGTTTGGAATTGCCCCTTTCTTTCTATACCTAAAAAAATATCATATAACACATAATTTAAAAAACTACAAATGCTCTATTTACCACGTCTGACACAATATTCACATATCGTATAGAAATTTAAGATATATTGAATATCTTGCAATCTAATGCTCTAAATATATTTATAAATATATTTATATATTTATTATATAAATAGATTTATAAATAATTTACAATATCACCATTTAGAATTCATCAACTGTATCAATAAATTTTCCAATAATATAACATGAAAATCAATCACACTTAACTTATTATTCAACTGGCTGCTAATATAAGTAGTAGTATTTAATTGTGGCATAAGTATCTATTATAAACCGACATTATCATTAAAAAGAATGTCTTGTTATAAGAGAATAAATAGGCAGGGCATATTATCGTAACTATTGATACAATAGACACGAGCAACTTGTATTTATTCTTTGTGATATGAGGAAATGTCAAATATTTGCTATGGAAGTATGTCAGCAAATATTTATAATTTTTTTTTCACAAACAATTTTTATATTTACAAATTGCTCTATTAGGTGAAAAATTTCTTAGACTGGGGATTTTTTTACTCTACGGGAATCAATTGTTCATGCTTTGAAGGTTCATAAACATCTCTCATCGGTTTGTTACACCAAGATATCAGACTTTACATGCAATTCTTGCGAGAATAAGTTATGATTGCTTATAAGCATTTAATATCTACATAATTTTTAAAATATTTTATTTCCTAATATTAAAAATGTTTATATTACATATGTGTGAATCTGTATCTACATATATATAAAGCATACCTATCAAAGAAGATAGCTAAGCAATGAGTTAATTGATTACAATGTAATAAGAATATGTACTTTGACACATTCATAAAGATAAGGCACATGAATTTTGGCACATTACTGAGCAAAAGTGTTACATTTGTAATGAGATTATATAGGATTAAACGACAAAGGAAGTAAAAGATATACATTGAGACCAAATGGGATAGAATTATAAAGTACCAGTGTAAACATAAGATCAGTATCAATTATTTGACATAAGATAAAAAAGTGACGACGTAGCTTATCCTATTATTATGTCCTATTAATATTGTTACTAAGAATCCAAAAGTAGGAATTTCAAAAGTGCTAGCCATCTTCTTATTCATACACAACACTTAAGCAATTTATACACAGTAGCGATCTCTATATAGCAAGGTTGTAGATTAAATCATTATGATATAATGAGATAATAAATTAAACATTTAAAAATTAAACTTTTAAAATGCACTAATTGACATTAAGCACGCAAAATTACAATGTTGAATTCAACACCCAAAAATGATTGAGAGTTCATGTTCCTATTAATTGCTTATTCCGACAACTGAACAAATTTACTTTAATGTTTGGCCGATTTTACGATCTTGCTATATCGTGACCTCTGCTATATAAATAAAAATTTCTTCTACTTATCCAAGAATAAATGTTATTGATTATGAAGAAGACGTACCTCCGAAACAAAAGTGGTCCTCCTGGTCGTTCTTCAACATTATTAAAGACAGTCAAGGTATCTGTTGAACAATTTGAATCATTTTCCTCCGAAGGTGAAACAATCGGAGTTTCATCATTAATTAAAGCACCTAACGGGTCATTCTCAGTAACTGGTGTACGAGTAGGATTTTTTAATGGTGATTCTAAATTTCGATTCATTCTAGAAATAAGGAAGAAATACATTTGATAAATAAATGTGAAACTTCTTCCTGAAAGCACATTAAATGTTCACTAATAAAAAAAAAAGGAGGAAAATTATAATAACTTAAAAAATTACCTCTGATTCAGCTGCAAGTTATCCAATTCTTCTGTTTGCATAACACTTAATGTTGCTGAATCTTTAACAATACTATTTTGTCGAGGAAGCTTCTTTATTTCAAAAGGTCCATATTCTGGCAGATCTGAGACAGAGCTCCCTTTAGTAGCTATCAATGATGGAAAAAAAACAGAAAAAAAAAGGAAAACGAAATGAAAAGCTACATCTAAAAGGGCAGTAATTAATTTCAATAAACCAATACTCACAATCACTGTGTGCAGCTTCTGTATCTTGAGAATGAGAACTGTCAAGACTAGATCTAGAAAATGCATGTTCCATACTTGCAGTTTTGCCATCAACAGACAATAATTCTGCATTTGAACTTAATCTTCGTCTAGCACTTCTTTTACCAGCTCTCTTAAATAGAGCAGCTCCAACTATAGCATTTCTTAATTTATTCCACATCAACTGACTGGAGTTTGTCATATCAGATGGCCAAGTTGCTTCGAGTACAGCCTAAAGGTTACAAAAAAAAAAAGAAGTTTTATAACTAAATGTAATGAAATTTTGATTTCTCTCCCAAAAAATCATAGTTTATAAAGAATCAAACCTTATTATAAAATCCATAAGTAAGTGCATTTGGCTGAACTCCACTGCGTTTCATGTGGAATAATAATTTTACAGCTAAAACGGGTTGTCCATAAACGCCACATAGTTGCATCATAGCTCTATAGCAAACCTAAAATCGATACCTTCTACGGTAAGATTCGTTAACATAGTTTAATTGTAAAACGATTATTTAAGTACACAAGAATAGAAAAATTTACTTCTTCAATAGGATCAAGATGTAATTTTGGCATTTTGACTAACAAATCGTAAGCTTGATGTAAAATTGTAGCAGGTTGATTCGAGACTTGGAGCATAGCCGGTAAATGCAAGAACCAAAGGCTGTAACAAGTTCCAAGCAGACATCTACCCCATCTATCTGGCATTGCTGCCTACAAATATATATTAGGTCATAAGAGAGAACATACAATAAACTTAAAAAATTATAAAATTATAATTTTGTTAAAATAAAACACACTTTTACAGTTTTTCTTAATAGTTACATAGATTAACACAGATACATTACTGATTCTCTAGATATGTCAACATTGAATACTGATATTTCATATGGAAAATATTAATTTATGCAAGTTAAATAGTAGTACCTAGTAATTGGTGATACAAGATGGTGACTCGATATTTAAAAGTAAGTTGAAAAAAAAGACACAAATATTTTCGTTTGAGGCTTCATTTCTGAAAAAATCTAGTAAAGAAATTCATGGAATGTATAAAAGTTAAATTTTAGCTTTGTGAACTTTATTATAATCTATCTTTCCTATTGTCTTAGAAAATAGTATTTTTTTTATATTATTCTATCATTTGATTTACTTGATGCAGAAAGATTAGAAATGTTTAGAAACATAAATAAACACAATCTACAATATAATAAAATTCATAGTCTTAAGATTTGGATAAAAGAACGCATACTACAAGAATCTTCAACTTCGATTTTCTCGAAAATAAATCTTCAAACAAAAAAGTTTGATTGCTTTTTTTTCGATTTAATTTTGCATGTAGAATCATGTAAAATCACTTCTTGCTCAATTATACCATGGGTTTCCAAACGCTCGGACATATTCCAAACCATATACGTATCATTTTATACGAATGATTATAGATATATTCTATAATAGATTTTTCTATAATAAATTTTATAAATTCTATGCTAAATTAAAGTTCTTTTTGAAGAATTTAACATTTAGGAAATTTTTATTTACTTGTTTACGCGCCATCCTTTGAGCAACCTTGATTTCGTGTTTGGTTCTACGTGCCATGGGACTTCCTGGTACTATTCCGAAGGCACTTAAATTCGGATTCCTTATATTGAAATTTTTCTGTGGTCTTATTAAATCCGGATTCAATTTAAATGTACGATACACTATCGGCGCTTGATTTGGACCAGGTTCAGGCGGAGGTATAAATACTGTCCGTTCACTATGCTGAGATTCATCCAATTCCAAAAGAGGCACTAAAATATACATTCAAATGTACTGAACACATTACAAAGAATCATTTAATCTTTAGTTTTACACAATGCTATATAAAATTAATACAAAATTAACGAATTTTACAAATGTAGAAGATAAATATACATCAAAATGAATAAAATAATAATAAACTGAGTAAACTAACATTGAAGTATAAATAATTAAATAACACCAAGTCTAATATCATAAAAATGTTGGTTATTATGTCTTTTAAACTATTACATATAACAAATTATCTGTTAAATTTTTTTAGAAAGTTCTAAAAAAAAATGTTGTGAGATTCATCATGGTCCTTTTAATAGACCTTACACTTTTCCTATTCTGTAGCCAGATCCTCTAAAAACAAAGTCCTATTCATTAGGATGTCAAATTGTTATACTATCTCATATTTTACTTTCTATTAAACAATCTTCTCAACACAATATTTCTAGAAAGTCTAAAGTGTTTTGTAGTATAAACACTTTTTCTAAGAAGACTAGATTAGAATTTTTTAAACATCTTTTCGGTAAGATTTCTATAACTAACTTTGGGGGATAATTAAATTCTGAATTATATTCTGATTGAAAGTTTTATTGGTCGTTATTTATGGTCGTTAATAAATTATATAAATTACAAAAGTATACATGCAGTACATCTACTGATTATTGAAAAAATAACTAAAAACATAGTATAATTAACTAAAATATTGTAGAAGTTTATGATATTTTTTAAAATATGTATATTATGATACATTCCATATATGAATATTGCTTTTTATATAAAGTTTATAAAAATTATATACCTACTAATTATTGCTATATGATAAATAGATATCGACGTTTATATTTATATTTAATTTAGTTAAAAATACATTATATCAATATTCAATAATGATAATGCAACACAGGATATAATAAATATACATAAAAGAAATAAAAATACTAAATAGATAAATTATTCTTTATAAAGCTATTAGAATCCCAAAGAAACTCTATTAGAAATACTATTGGTATCCCTACACTTAGAATTTCATAGAATATCATTTCTAAGGAAATTTTATTATTTTAATTCTAGGACACGTATTAGATATGCTCTGATCATATCCAACTTGTTTAGATATTTATGATCACATAATAATATTTTACATAATTATAACTACTCTACTAAAAACACAAAAAAGCACTCTCACCATTTTCTTCCTCGATGCGTTCAGTACATTCGTCAAAAAATGCTAAACCTGCCATGTCCATGTCAGATACAAAACTTCTTTCTTCTATAAATCTAAAAAATAGAAAACAAAATAATGTACTGTAAAAATAATGTTTGTAACCAGGACATGTATATAGTAAAACTTTAAAACCATTTTATATAATGCTATGATAACTAACAGGAAGAAAACGGAGATGAAAAATGGAATAAAACTAATACTGCACAGAGCATGAACAAGACAGTATCATTCTAAGTATGAGGGTAAAATTATTATCTTGAATTTAAATTGCTCAAATAATTAATTTAATTTGTATCAAAATTTTGTTCATTGGTATATGATTTATTTTATATGTTAATTATGTGCTTATAATATTATTTACTTGTAGCAATTAAATAACAGTAATATAGTACACAGTTGTCTACAATTTCGAAGTATTATAGTTACTTTTTGACACGTTATTAAAATGAAATATTTATATTTGGAAAATTCCTTTACTAACAATGATACAAAACAAAATATATAATGAAAAACGATAATCTTGTATATACTCAGTTAAATCTCTGCATAGAGAAATAATAATTATTATAACGATTATTAATAATTATTAATAAATAACACTGAAATTTTCCACAAAATAGAATTAGGTCTTTATGAAATTTTTTTTGTCTGAAAAAGACGAATTATAAAAATATATATGTATTCGGAAATGGTATACTTTTATAAAATTAAAATATCTTCTTTTATTTTATTGTAAAATATACACAAAGTAGAAACAAATTAATGCAAATCAATGAGATTTTCAAAAAACGATTTTATATGATACTAAATAATCTCTAATGTCAGAATAATATGTATTGGATATTTTTTTAGATGTTTTTAGAGATTAAAAATTATAAAAGTTATTATCTTTGAATGCATAATTCGTACGCAAATGTATATATGCCAATAATGTTAACAAAAGCACTAAAGTTCAAAAAAGATATTAATAAGCAAAAAAGATTGAATCATTTATGTCAGTATTCAAACATTCTTAAATACCAGCATAAAGAATACACAAAAGCTTACAAGGTTACTTTAGTATTAAAAAATGTTATACTACTAAATAATGCAATTAGTATTAATTAATGTTAAAAAGAATAGTTTCCTTAAAGAGATGAACATGACCTACAAAAATAAATCTATATTTTTAGATTGATATAGATTTAGTAAACAAAGGACTAGTTATAAACTTATCAATAATTCCAAAAATTAGTATTAAGATTTAAAAAGTATCTATTTACATAATTGTTCATAAATAAGTAAATAGATATTCTTCCAATAAAGGTTTTATGAAGTCAGTTCTATTAGATTCTTAATGAGATTGTGTGATATGTGAGTAACACATCAACAGAAATAGAGTTTTTATATGTTGTTATCTTATAAACTTATTGCCAAACTGTTAAAGTTCTTCTAATGAAATAAAGTTTAAATGTCACTTCATTTAATTATTAATGTTGTTAAAACAAACAAGAAATAAATTTTATAGAACACTTGGGTTTAAGTTTCATAACAATTAAAAAATGAAGCATATACTAATAAGTATGAACTAATATAGAAAATTATAAAAATATCAGTCCAAACCTCAAAGTTTTGCATAAAATTAATAAGATATTCTATAATTAAATATATAAGATGTCCTATAATTGATAGTATTTACAAAGGGATGATTTTATATGAAAAAAATACAATTAGTTAAGAGATTTTGTTTTCAAGACAATTAATTAAAAATATTTGTCTGATATAAGTGCACTTCAATATGTCTCCTTCTAATATACATAAACTATTTCTATTATAAAATATATTTTTATTATAAATTCGATTATAGAACATCTTGTATATAAAATAAATATTATTGTTTATTTGTTTCTTAATTTTCATATTTGTCTGTAAGTGTATTTGGTTAGTTATTAGCTTTAAGACAAATAAAGCTTACTAATTTTTTTTATCGAAAATTTATTCTTGTTTCAATTTTTAACACGAAAGATAAGTATTTCAATCATATGATTTAAAATCATCATATTATCTTAAAGAAATATTATATGAATTATTTAAAAAATATATATTTCAAATATATATTATTAAATTTATCAATATAATCAGCATATTTTTCTAAAAAAATTGTATTTAAGTGTAAATTTAAGTTAATATAAAATGCCACTTAAATAATAGTCTGCCTGTCTTAAAAATAACAAAATTTAATGTTCATTTTTGCTATATGTATATGATGATAAAATAATATGATAAATGATTTATTATATTAAACCTTATGAATCATATGAAAGAAATATTAATAAAAACAAACCTTATAAACATTTGCGTCTTCACTAACATACTATAAAATTTTGCATGAGCTTTGTCTCGACTTCTAAGAAACGCTTGTATGTTGAATAAGCTAGTTGGGTCTGTAGAACCAACTGTTGGGGCTTTTGTAATAGGTAGTAAACAAGCACGATATCCTTTGAGTATAGTAGCAGTAAATTTTAAAAAAGCGTCTTGTATTTCAAGCTCCAAAGCTTGTTCTTTTCGTTTTTGTTGAAACTCTTTATCCACGCTAAATTCTTCATCTTCTGTGTCTAAAAAATAAATTAATTACAGACGAAAATACTAATAATAAAAAAAGACCAACCACAGGAACATACTTTTCATTGATGAATAACTTTTTCCCAAAGAAATCAATTTCGAATAAAGATGTTCTAACGAATTTCTAAGCTGTCTAGCTGCTTTCTTTGGTAATAATTTCACGTTTAAATATTTTTTGTCATCGCAAATTGCTATATTATTTGTGTCTAAATTTACACAATTAACATCAGATGGAGGATCATATAGGTCAAAGAATCTGGAATCCACACCTATCAAAAACGGCAGTGGGGCATGCAGAACCTAGAATTTCAAACACGTTATTATTTTGGTTATTTATAATTAAATTGATAAAATAAAATACGTTACTTCGGCCAATCCAAGAGGACACAAAGGTATGTATGGGCACTGCCACTTAAATGGAAACAGTATCATAGCGATTGCTTCGCTCACCGATGTAAGTACATCAGGACGTAACGAATGTACAAGTATTTTCTGTTCAGTAAGGATTAACAATAATATAAGTAAACAATTATCGGGTCCTAAATTGATGAGTAACTGTCGAAAACTGGCACCAGACCTAGGTAGCGCCAAATCTTCTGGCTGAGTCAAAATCAACCTGTCCTTAGTACTTAACTGCACGAGAATTCTTGGTCTCTGTGGACTTGGAAACGGTATATCGTACAAAAAATATGCTATATACTTTTCAATAGGAACTTGTTGCGGTGTGTTATTACACATGCTATGTAAGAAAACTAAAAATTTCTCAAACGTATCAAAAAATGGCCAATGAGATAGGATGCATATGGATTTACTAATATTCAAAGATTGCGTCGCTGGATTTGTATATTGCAATTTTTCTAACTGCGCTAGCGTGAGCTTTTTAAATATTCCAGACTGCTTTTGTGTTTTCATTTTTAACTGTTGGTAGTCAAATTCTGCGTGTTCAACTGAAACAAGAAAAAAATTGTTTATTTTCTCCCTTCGTATTAATCTTATAACGGTGAATGAAAATTTTTAATTACGATTATAATATACATAGCTCTATATAATTTCTAGAAACGATAAAAACACTAAATAATTATTCATAACATGGTAAATTACAAGCAACAATTATAAATTATAACAAACTTTCAGCAAAAATTAGCTCACCCTAGGGAAGAAATATTCTTCTAATTAACACAAGATGAATAATCCATTCTTTAGAAGAAAAATAATATATTTTTAAATTGTATAGGGTTCTATTATGTTTTATCCTATTATTTTGCTACTTGGATTACTGAAGACAAAATGATTGTAGTTATTTATGACAAACTATAATAACGATATAGTAATTAACATTTCTAAATGAAGACCATTACAGGTTCTTCATTTATAAATAAGAGAAAAAAATTGCAACTATATGAATGGAAAATTAAATATCTTAAATTAGAAAAATTTTGACTATTTTTCATGACTAAATTTTCACTATTATTTTGAGCCTTATGCTATCTAATATACTTTTTATATTATTTATTTTATCTAATATACTTAGGATATTTAATATACTATTTCATAAATCTGAAGAATGTTAGATGAAAGAAAGGAATTTGTCTAAAAATATTTGATCATTTCTAAATACCTTAATATATAGAGTGTTTTGAAATTATATTTCAATCTCAACTTAGAAAATGACAAAAGAAATATTTTTCGTTAAAAAATACCTGTTTAATCACACCCTATTTTTTTCTCTTTCAGTGCAAAAATTTGAAAAAATAGGAATATAATACACAATTGGTTATCTTTGGGAGATTTTGATAAAATTTTGCGTAATAAATTTCACATTAATTAATAAATTATATGATATCCATAAAAATACCGAAATACATTTGCATATTATTCCGTTTAAAACTATAGAAAGAACCTTCTCTCGACCACTTAGGGTTTGGAGCAGCATAGTTAGAGCTTATAAATTATTATATTAAGTGCTGTTTCTAATTGATATTGACACCCAAAATCGTCTATAATTTGTAACTAAATAGTTATTTAACACCGAACAAGAAAATTGGAAAAATTGTTGATTAATTTAGAATAGTAACTTAGGTCATCGGCTACTACTTATTACTAATTTACTATATTAAATCACTAACTTCTGCTTAATATGTCGAACATTAAAAATGAATTTTTTGTGAATCACCATCACCAGTACCCAGCAAACGGAAGAATCGTCGCGATTTTTACATATCTTATCAATATTAACAAATGCAGAAATAATAATTTACAAAAGAATATAAAACTGAAACTTTAGACAAGTGTATGAGTGTTCAAAAAGTGTGCAAAATTATTTTTCATAAAAACAAAAGCACCATTCGCAAAATTTTTGCCTAGTCTTTAGATTTATTTCATTCACGAAGAATCATTTTCTCCTCGATTATATCGATCATAAATTAAATCAGTCCGATAAAATTTTATTTAAAAGCGTATTCTTAATTCAAAATTAAGACTAATTAAACTTCCTAAAATTTACAATAACTAAAGCAAGGAAACCATTAAAAAAGTATCACATTTCTTTACTAAAATATTTAGTTAATGCATAGTTGAATACAGTAGAATTGTAAATTATTTAAATCTAACTTGTGAATCTATACAATTTACACTTCTTTCATCATGAAATACAAGTATTATATGAATTACCTATGTCAATGAAAATTTCTTAAAATGAATTCCGATATTTGTAATAAATTTCGTAAAATGTATTTCCATTTCCAATTTTGATGTTTGTTTTCATTCTTTAAATATCTCATACACGTAATTTTTATAAATTCGACGATATATATTTATGGATCCTTTTTTAGTGTACTATATAAGCAAAAGTAAGCAACGTGAGGCTGTTGGACACGTGGGTGTTCGCCACTGTGCCAAACATTGAATGTATTTTAAGTTTACGACTTCTCTTCCAGTAACATTAAGGTAAGATACCCTTTGTTCTAATAAAATCATTTGGGATACCTTTTTTTAGTGAAAAAGCTCACAGAATATAGATAGTGACATAATATAATATTGATTGTGATATAATATAGTATTTTATAGTATAGCAGCATATTATATTGTACATAGTATTTTATAGTGTTTAAGTTATAATTTAGCGTATTTTACTGCATAACTATACCCCTATAATACTATAGCGGTATACTAGTATATAATATACTATAGTATAGTAACAAATAACTATATAGCATAATCAATAAGTATCATATAAGCGAGTAGGAGATGATTCTTTATGCAAAAATGGAACAAAAGCGTGGAATACAATTTTTTCATTTAGGACTTAGATTTCGAAATAATTGATTCTGAAAATTTCTTGGCATACGTACACACTTACACAGCTAATTATAAGACATAGTTCACGAGAAATATGAAATAAAAATAAATTTTATTAATAATGCTTTCTTCTTTTAAGTAAAAAATTTCTAAAACTAATAAAAATTAAGAATTTATACTTTTAAGCTTTTAAATATACAGAGTGTTTGGTAACTTGTGATACAAGCGAGCAGAAGGTGATTCTACATCTAAAAATACGTCGAAAAGGAAGAATAAAATTTTTTCATACGATGCTTCGTTTTCGAAGAAATTGAATTTGAAGATTCGTGGAGTACGTGTAAATGTAATTATACCTTAATTTTATACATAATTATACTGTGTAGACTATATTTTGTGTTATTTTATCATTAGAGCGACTTAATATAGATGTAAAAATACTAGAAATATTTATGAACATAAATAGACACAGTCTACAATGAAATTCGCTGTGTCAGAATTTGACTAAAAACATGCATACTCCATAAATCTTCAACCACGATTTTCTCGAAAATAAAGCCTCAAACGAAAACATGGTATTCTTCCTTTTCGACTTATTTTTAAACACTGAATCAATTTCTGCTTGAACAGCTACCATCAGACACTTTGTACAATTAACACATTATTTCAATTAATTATCGACATCTTCGATATTTTTTGAAAAAGTCGCGCAGACATTGTACGCAAATGTAAGAGGTATAGTTTTACTAAATGAACAATACTTATTAACCCAAACTGTACTTATGTACGTATACAATTCGATTTCGTTTTTGTAAATGGGTTTTGTAATTGAAGTTTTTAAGTTATATCGTCTGAACTGTGTTGACAGTTTAAGATGTTTTTTATATTGTTATAATTTGATCTAGTTTTTCTTAAGGTTATTTCAAAGTCATGATGTAATAGATCATTGACTCGTTTTGATGCCATAATATAGTATATTATAAAATGAAGATGTTAACATACAAAAGAAAATATATTTTTATTGGCATCAGATACATGTCTCGAGGCCATTTTAATCTATATCTTTTTTTTCCTTTTTTTTTTTTGTAATTTTTCATAAGCACAAAGATAATTTAGATTTAATTTCTTTTAAGTGATACACCCTGTATATGTACATAGGTACTTGAATACATGTTCCGATGAATTTTTAAAAACAATTTTTTTAAAAATAAAAGTTCGAGTAAAAAATGTTATTTTTCAGTTTTAATTTATTTTTTTAAGAAATCGTGTCGGAATAACAATTATTTCAAAAATATTTTTGCTTTAGATTCTAGTTAAATGTATTATATGTTCTTAACTCTAATATAACTATATACAATTTGATTATGTTTAGCTATATTTAACTCTGTATAATTATAGTAAAAAATGCTTTTTTAAAAAGAAGATTTGAAATTATGTACGTCATCGAAACAAATGTATTTTTACTTGAAAATTATGTTAGTAGGTGTATAAAATAATGCTACTGGGTTTACTAAGCCTATCAAGAATACCGATAAGAATTCTTAATCACACTTGATAATTTTTTAATCAGAGGGGCGTGGAAGACAAGCACTATCGCCATTATGGTCTCTAGATTTGTCACCAATAAATTTTTTCTTATTTTTTGACATAAAATAACAAGTGATGGTCACGATACCTAACGTGAAAAAGAATATGAGGAGAATAATTCATACAAATCCACATCTTCAATGACATTATCAAACATCTACAATAATACCCTTAACAAAAATTCATAGAAAATATAAAAAGATTTAATATAAATATAAAATATAAAATAGAATATAATATATAAAATATAAAATATAAAAATAAATAATATAAAATATAAAATATAATAAAAATATTTTAAGTATAATAAATCCCTTTCTACATAAACTTCTACTATCCTAATACTTTATTTATGCATGAACACATATCTTAATGTTGCCAAGACAGACTCGTTATGCTAACTATAGTAATTAAATGTAAAATAACTGAAGCACTCGAGAGAGGAGAAAATACGATATAAACACATCAATTACAGACATTAAAAAGCGGAAAACTAGTCACACCAGGTTAAGTAAGAAAATAGTTTCAGTCTAATAAAGTCAACTTCAACTTATAATAAGATTCATCAACTTCTATACTATTAAATAACGAAACGAGGTATGGAAAAAACGATTTTGATATCAAGGCATTATAAAACATCCCCGGTTTTTAAAATAAAAAAGAAAAAAAATAATAAAAAAGATATTTTACTATATAATTTTGTTCCATATATTACTAATTAATTCGCTAATGTATTATATACTAGTGTATATATTAGTGTAATGTACGACATCGCTGGAACTATAAAAATGGAGAAACACATTTTTGAAGTTGTTCAATGTGAAAATAGTCACTGCATAATCATAATAATTTCTTTTCAGATAGTCATTATGGAGATATCTTTTTAATGACAGGTAATAATTTTGCATTTATTTACTAGCAACAGCTGAATATAAATACCTATAGCAACCACACTACGGGCATGGAAAATCGAAAAGAAATTTACAAAAATAGAGTGCTTAACAGTTATTTGTTCTTGAATATTTTAAGTATAAGAATTATGAAGACATTCGTGAAGACACGTTCT